ATGCAATTGTCTCTAGCAGGCTTGACAAGCACAACAAACAATATTCAAACCGTTTGAGCGATACAATTCTTCAAACCCTGCAGATTCTCTTCAATCAGACGCAAATGATAAACTCGAGCAGGCTTGACAAGCACGGCAAACAATATTCAAACCGTTTGAGCGATACAATTCTTCAAACCCTGCAGATTCTCTTCAATCAGACGCAAATGATAAACTCTAGCAGGCTTGACAAGCACAACAAACAATATTCAAACCGTTGGAGTGATACAATTCTTCAGACCCTGCAGATTCTCTTCAATCAGATGCAATTGTCTCTAGCAGGCTTGACAAGCACAACAAACAATATTCAAACCGTTTGAGCGATACAATTCTTCAAACCCTGCAGATTCTCTTCAATCAGACGCAAATGATAAACTCTAGCAGGCTTGACAAGCACAACAAACAATATTCAAACCGTTGGAGTGATACAATTCTTCAGACCCTGCAGATTCTCTTCAATCAGATGCAATTGTCTCTAGCAGGCTTGACAAGCACAACAAACAATATTCAAACCGTTTGAGCGATACAATTCTTCAAACCCTGCAGATTCTCTTCAATCAGACGCAAATGATAAACTCTAGCAGGCTTGACAAGCACAACAAACAATATTCAAACCGTTTGAGCGATACAATTCTTCAAACCCTGCAGATTCTCTTCAATCAGACGCAAATGATAAACTCTAGCAGGCTTGACAAGCACAACAAACAATATTCAAACCGTTAGAGTGATGCAATTCTTCAAACCCTACAGATTCTCTTCAATCAGACGCAAATAATAAACTCTAGCAGGCTTGACAAGCACAACAAACAATATTCAAACCGTTAGAGTGGTGCAATTCTTAAAACCCTACAGATTTTCTTAAAACAGACGCAAGTGATATACTTTAGCAACTTGACAATCATAACAAAAATAATATTCAAGCCGTTGTCTAATATAATTGATCAATCCTTACAGATCATCTTAAAACTCTAGGAGATTTGACTAGTACCACAAACAATCCCATCGAAAATCTCGCACCCGCCCTAACCCGTGGATTCGCCAAACCGCATTTTCAATTTTCATAACAACAACGTGTTGCACAACGTCTGTAACTTGTTGCGCAACAGAGAGGGGAGCAGAAAGTGGCGAGAGGGAGAGAGTGAGCGAACTTTCACTAGACTTTCGCCTCTGCACGGCACGGACAGTTGGCTGCCGTAATAACAGACTCGGTCGCGGGCTATTTAAGGTCATTTTTCGTCACAGCGATTCACCAGTGGAAATGGAAAAGGAAATTGGTTGTTGCGTCACTTTCGGCTGAGAAGTTGTTCGGCTGATTGTTGACAACATAATATGTATAGAGTTTGTAGGTAATTGGCAACAAAGTTAACCTCTAGAGTAGTAATTGTTAACTAATCCGGAAGACAACATCTAAAAAAATAAATTAAACTTGGCACATTAAATTCTTATGATACACGATTAAGTTCTGCATCAAACACACACAAAAGAGAAAATACAATGGTGTTATATGATAGAAAAATAGCGTGTTCTATACCAATCTGAGCAATAAAATGAATTACGAAGATACTTTGATACAATTCACAAACTGCGGTCTCATGGACCACAGGCTCGATGCCAAGACTGTTCTGCATCCCCGAACCTTGCAATTGTCTCTATAAGGCGCCCCAGTTCCCACAGTTTGTTTTGTTTGTGAGTGTTTTGTCAGCTGATGCGCTGCACAGACCTTTGGCCGAAGATCAACAGCTAAACCTCCTGACCTTAATCTTATTTCGGTCCTGCAGCACCTAAATACGCGACCATAAACCATATGTCTAGGTCGAGGCGACGAGCGCCCACGCGCCCACACTCACGCAGCAAAAGTCTGACTCTGAATATCTGGTCTGAAATAGAAACGTACTGAGTTGGGAATATTTGAGAAGAATTATAGAGTTTTAATTTGTTAATTCATTTACACTGATTAAATCAGACACTTTTGAATATTGAAATTTTGAAGTACTGTATTGAATTTTGGATAGTAGACTTATGAAGAATTGACCATATGATACTGCATGTGGACTTCTCGTCCTATTTAACAATCCGAATCTGTGGTTTTGATATTGCAAGTAGACTTTTTATCCAATAGTTAATCCGAAGCGTTGACTTTGGATACTGCAAACAGCCTCCTCGCCTTGTCAAATCTCAAGTATTGCCTTAAATACCTTAAAGCAACTTTTCATTCTACTGCAAAATCTGGAAGTACTATTTTTAGTTTATGAAATTTGAATCCTTATCTCATTAAACTTTTTAATCCCGTTTAACCAAACATTTTTATCTCATTTTATGGTACATTTTACATTCAAGGTTTTACTCTCGGTTGGAAAACAGAGAAGAATTAATCAATGTATAGTGATTTGTAATACCTTTTGAAGTAAACCGCATTTTGAAATATCTGTAACTTAAATACCTTTAAGATGCGCTATGGTCATGGCTTTGCTCCCTCTATCCCAAAATAGTTGAAATAATCGTTGGAACATCTCCAAACTGACACAACTTGGAGTTTAATCTGGAACTCGGAGCTTCCAAAAACCCAAACTTAGAGTTAACCTTCAGCTGTATGTTTCCTTATTCTTTCCTAGCAGGTTACACCTACAGCAAAGATTTTTCCTAACTAAGGCCCGGTTCACACGAACGACATACCTAGCAGACTAGGTTTGGACTAGGTAAGCACGACTGGGTAGCGGACCACAGGATCACACCGGTTCACACGAGCGACATGTCTACGGACTAGGTGAAAATATAGATATCAAAACCACTCGGTTCCATCACTGGTGCACAATGAGAACAAAGGTAAGAATGCGAGCTGCAGCTCGACTACCCGATCGCTCGTGTGAACGCTCCCATAAGGCTACATGTACTGCTACGCAGTTCGACTGGGCGACTGGGAAGTTGCCACGACGGACTGGGAAGCGGGGCCCGACTAGGTTTTGGGACATCAAGCTCGAACACGACTAGCTAGTCTGCGTCCTAGGCTCGTGTGAACAGCTCCATTTGATCCTGTGGTCCGCTACCCAGTCGTGCTTACCTAGTGCTTACCTAGTCCAAGCCCAGTCTGCTAGGTTTGTCGTTCGTGTGAACCGGGCCTAAACGTTAACGTAGTTGACTATCATTTAAACTATCAGCTAGAAATTAGTAATGTAGTGCATACAAAAAAGAGAAATATTCCTCTCTGATTTTTTAATGTACTACTTGGTTGGTTTTTTACTCTTTCGTAGCCGAGGACCAGGCATCTTCGTAATTATAACGTATTATTTGGTTTAAATAGTTAAAAAAGTTAGTTTGGTTAGTTGAGTTAAATAAAATTGTAAGCAGCAAAACGCCCTCTTCGTGAGCCAGGAACGTAACTAAACTTAAAATTGTCTTCAGTTGAAAGGGTTATTGCGTATATTTCCTCTAACTATTATTGTTCAATACTACGATTATTTAAATGCCCCTATAGGAGAAGAAGATCATACTCCGAGAAACTTATGTTTTGCCATTCAGTAATTGAATTTTCCGCAAATGTCCTTTATACAACCTACAGTTTTGTATCACAATCATAATATGTTTTAACTACTTCGACTACGTTGATAGTCTAGTAAATGTTTTTGATTACGAAAACATTGGTCCGATTTTCTCTCCATCACGGAATGAGTTGTATGAAAATCTAGCAAATTTAATCCGAAAAAAAACACTACATTGATTTCTGTATCGTCAAAATACTCAAGTCTACAATTATGTCTTGTGCTTTATAGGAGACAATGAAAACGCCAGCACACTCAGACAAGAGTGCCCTGGATCATAGGATCAGTTGATCTTGATCGGTATGTTAGCAGTGGTGGGGTGTGGATTATTGGCAGACGTTTTAAAAAGCAAACAAAACATGACAGGTGTAAGGTGGGTGACCGCTGGTTGGCAGAGATGTAGGTTTGGCTCAACCTCAATCACTGTACCACACCGTCACTGTGGTCGGTGTCCGTAACATTGTACTGGCCGCGGTGGTCAGCTGTCATAACACGACGTCCACAGCGATCCGTCCAGGGGGCCACTGAACTGCTAATGTTGAAATGCGACGGGAAATCCTTGGTAGAAGTTGTCAAGTACTCCCAAAAGATAAAGTTAGTGGCACAATCGTGCTGCTAAATAAATCATTTTTCTTAAATGATAGTCTTAATGTATCTTCGGGTCCAATCATTTAACGCAGTAATCATACGGTAAACATGCAGCGGGTGACACAGTGAATCCCAAAATCATTATTAACCTTATAATTATTACCTTTGAAAGGTACTTAGTATTGACTTAAATTTATGGAAGACTCATCCGTTTCAACCCGTAAAAACATGTGGATTGTATGTGTCCGGACTATTCACCATATTTTTACTTTGCGTCAGTTTTTCAAACATTTTGACTTCTATGAAGATTGTTTAGCGGGTTTTCAATCACATTTGAAGAAACAGAGCCTAAACACGATTGCAGTCCAGAATACATCAGTTATTCCTTTAATTATGTTCCTCTAAGCGCCCATAATGAGGTTAATTGTAAGTAAGGACCATGCGGTCCCAAATTCGCCCTAATAAATAGGCTAAGTATTTTCATCCATTGGTTCATTATGTGACTATAGCTCGAGGTCTCACCCATAAAAGCCAGCTATGAAAGACTGCAGTTTAAGTAAGAACCAGGAATTATATTTTAAACTATCTTGCATGTATTCTTGTGGGATCTAAGTCTACCTAAATGATTGTAAGAATTATTAGCGCTAAACGAAAGCCAACTCCTCTCTCTCTTGGCTTTCAGAGCAAAAAATGCTTCAATCATTAAAGTGTCATAAAAAATTAAACTGGCACCGCTAGGGTAGGGAAGGATCCTGGTCAAATTATATTTTAGGTAAAAAGGGACGTAAATTTTCTAACCTCAAACCTAACGCATGCCTTTGATACTTTTTGTTTTAGAGCCAGTACCTGGTAAACCAAGGAAACCGGCCAGAACTGTGCTGACGCGGATGAAACATGTCAGAGGTCCACTCTCGTTGCTGCAGAAGTTTATGGACGATAGAATAAGAGTCAAGGTAGGCGTTGAAAACTAATCTTACTGTAACTTCTATAGCAATTTGTATCGTCAGATTCCTAGACTAACTATTGTATTCGTCTTCAGGTGTATAATCGAAACATGATCGGAATCCGAGGCTATTGCTTAGGCTATCTTGTAGCCTTTGACAAACACTTCAACATGGCTCTTGAAGACGTCACCGAGATCTGGACCCGCAAGAAACACCAAAAGACTCCAGCTTTAGGCGAGTATTTCTTCATCGGATTATTAAACGTTATTGATGTTAACTCCTCCCTGATTTCCTCCCGACTCTCCAGAAAGCCTTGTCTTATTATTCCCTAAAAACTTCTTACACTTGATTGGTCTTTCTTAGGAACGAGAAAATTGTTGTTCATGTGAGTCTATTAATGAAACAATAACGTTTGGTAAACGATATTTATGACTGTTTCATAAACATCCATAGTCATGTTTGTCTGTCTTAATTAAGGTCAAGTCCAATTAACAAGTTTTTTTTATCATTTGCTACCTCAAGTCAAAAGCCTTTCAATTAACGTATTCAGCTAACCTTTATGGATATATCTCTTTCCCATCACAAACCTGTAGAACTCATGGTTTCAAACATGGTACTCAAACTCTTCTTTCTCACCAATAACACGTACAACTCAACATTCTAAACATACAAACCTCCCCACAGACTTTTCTTTCCCAGCACTAGCCTATTTGATTTAAATTTAAACCCTCAAACCTTTCTAGAGATTTTGTTCACTAACCAGTAGAACTTAAAAAGTTTAAGAGACTGAAATCCTCTAAGAAAATTCTCTTTGCAACCTACTAACCTGTACAATTCAAAGACTCGGATATCCGAAACCCATTAGAGACTTCTCTTTACCATTACTAACACGTACAACTAAAATTCTCAAACATTCAAATCCATTTAGAGGCTTCTCTTTCCACCTGTAATATGTGCAACTCAATGTCGATACTCTTCTAGAGGCTTGTCTTTTCCCCCAACATGGCAACATAAAGTCTCGTGTAACCAACCCTTTCCAGAGAATTAAGTTTCATTCCCGCTAACCTGTACTACTCTCAGTCTCGAACGCTAGAAACTTCTCTTCCCCGCCAATAACAACACCCCTGCGCAGCAACTGAGTTGTATAACGTCAGCAAGGTCAATGACCCAGGAACTCTAGGTGAAAGTATTCTTGGTTACATCCACATCCACTCGCCATTCTCCGACGTCGCTCGTCGCCTGACATTTGCCGTTGCGGTCGCGGATGAAAGGGATGTCTTCGCGAGACGTTTCCGTCATCGAGCATATTAGTTTGATCGCCACCATAACTTTTTCAGATTGGTAATTATACTTCAAAGGGTAAAAGTGAAATATTCTACTGGACGTTGAAAGTGCAACTGCAACTGGTCCTGTTGAATGTTTAGGTTATGGTCTTGGTGTGATAAATGTTACAGTTGTGAATGTGTAAGTGAGATACTTCTCAGATTAAATATAGCTTAGGTTGCAAAAACCTACAAATATGCTCTCTCGATGTGTTTGAACGATAAGAACCTAAAAACAGTATTAATATTACATACTGTAAACTTAATACTTAAGTACTGTGATGTACTTTTTTTTCTTTAATTCTGATGGTGGTTCAATTCTATTCAAGACGCGGTAGTTTTTTTATTATTGAGTATTATGACACCACTGAGATCCTTTTAAAAGAAGACTAGAAGATTAGCCCAATCACCATCAAAAGTCATATTAGGATTAAAACGTAAGAGATGACTTTGACAATGTTTACGTTTGCCAGAGGGGAAGAAAAGACTTTTTTTAACATCATGACACTTCTTGAGACGTTTTATCGGATCATTTGATTATTTTGAGATTATTTCAAAGGCCGTAGGATTTTAAAAAATGCCACCCAACAAGTGCTCCTTTGGATGGTCTCTTTGGTCTTTAAAACTTTAGAAAATCAATCATTGTATCAATAATAAATTTCCATAAATCTTTCTGATGTTTCAATTTGTAAAACTATATAGGTTTTTGTTGGAATAAATAATATCATGAGATTAATAAGGTCGTTTCTACAGAAGAAATTCTTTCATCATCACAAGTAACATTAGGATAACAACGAACTCAATGACTTTAATGAAATTACAGGTTTGCCTTTGCAGAGGGAACGATCTATTTAGAGCATGGCACCACTTGAATTGTTCTTTTACGATATTCCACAGTGAGATATCAATTACCAACATTATGGCCATCGAATCACAAGCATGAGGTCTTTCACTTTGATAATAACAACAGAGTTTCCACAAGAAATATACGTGAAATGATTGTGACTGTAGATGTTACTACAGTATGATCCTCTTCCGCATTAATAAGTCATCTTTATTTCAATTATAAATTAGCTCACTAGGGTTGTCCTGCGAATTTGGTCTTCCTCAACCTTAAAAGCAGTTGACTGATTCATAACTACCTGCCATTTTGATGCAGCATCGACTGTTCAGGAGTGCAGATTTGATATTGCACCGAGCCGCTGCAATATGTGTTATCACAGATGATAAGCGTCAGCTGCATTCTCCCAGTTGCATGACACTTCCGCCCAGAGCTACTGATACTGGCGTCCTTGAAATAATCATTATCGAACCGGGTCGAGACCCACATCCAGAAGGAGGGAGATCTTATCTTAATGTGCAGTTGGATGCCGTTCAAGTGGTTTTGCATACAATTCAATTAGTTCAATTGTTCTGCGTTTTACACAGAAAGACATGATATAAATATATAGATGAATATTATTACATAGCTTGTGCTATAATTTATTATAGTACAAATTTTAGGCTTTTGCAGTCTGAAATATTAAGAAATTCACTGATCAACAAATATTTTCTAGGACTAACGTTTTAATTCAGAAGATTATGGTTCGCTTGGCATTTTTTTAATGTTATATCGTGGCTCTATGATGATCAACAATCTTACAATGTAATATATGAATGAATCTTTTTCAAATGTAGGCCTATTGAGCCTGAGTGTCCCATGACTTATTCTTTCCTCGATACCCATCCTTAACCATTTCAATTTGATTTACAATTCAACCCTCTTTCGTTTGGATTAAGCAAATTAACGATTACCATTCATCCACAGAATGTTATAGCATGACTTGGACTTGTTTACAACGCACTCCAAAAACTATTGTTAACGTTATGTACTACAGTTTATATTAAACGATTAAATTTGCCGTTTTATACAGTACTTCAGCATAAGGCATCTTCCAAATATGAAGATTACACAGTAAAAGACTGCCGTTTGTCGCCAAATTATCTTTCTACGCTACAAGAAAATTTTTAGTTTAGATATGTTTATTGTTTATGGACCCAACTATTAAATCAATATTTAGGTTGCTATATCCTGCTATCAGCAACAAGTTTGCAGCTTTGAGATTTTATGGGATTCCAACGTTCAAACCAATTCACATCTTTAACAACGAAAGAACAAGAAACTGAAGAATGCAAGAATGTTTCGCATTTAGAGTTTTTCTTTTAGAATATTTTTGACTTGAAGTCTTGCAGTTTACACCACATGCAACAGCTAATCGTCACCTTGGTCATGCTATCTGACCCTGCTTCATCCAACAACAGGTTATGTAATGTTCAGACTTGGATGATTGAGTGATCCCGTGATAGCGGCCCACGCGGGTCAGTCTTTAGACAACTGCAAGGTCAGGTCCTTTCTTTATTTTGACACAAACTGTAAACACGTGCGAGATTTTACACTGTATAACAACGGCTTGTGATTTGAGATTTCATGCAGTGCAGACTTATTGCTTTGTGTGAAATCTAGGAAGATATTTGGACGAACCGTGTACATAATTTTACTTTTTCTGATATTTCATAAGGCAAACCCAGTGGTGATATTTCAAAACTAGAGAGAGAAAATATTATACGTTTTTGATGGCATTGTACTCTATGAGGGGTCCGTTCAAGTGGGTTTGTTGAACTCAAAACTACATGCCTTTTGATATTGCAAGTAGATTTTGTCATCTTAATGAGACACTGTGCCATGTCTGGCTAAGTTAGTTTTAACTGAGACGATCAAATTATATTCTTACAAATGTGTTTAGGTTATTCTACACGGTGTACTTAACTCTTTGGTTTTATCACCCTTAATAAGTAAAAAGTTTGGTAATTTTTCAATTCAACGTTGTTGGTTACAGTAAAACTGTTTTTTTTTGTAGATTCGTGTTCACGGTACAAACCACAAAACTGCTAATCACAGACGTAGGTACAACTGAATAAGAAAGCTCAAGGGTCTCTTATTGGACTTTGAAACAAACCGCCAAATAACCGACGGCAAGCGAATCGAGGCGGTTGCACGGTCAGATCGGTGAACGGTCGGATGCAACGCTGCGATTTCCACGGGGAAGTGCACTGTTCCGGTCTACCATTACCATTACCAAAGGAAAGTGAAAGGAAAAAGTGAACACTTTCGCTGCCTACCGCCGGAAAATCTCAAGGCTGCTAATTACAGCTGTTTGTCTCCGATTCCCGCGGATTTCTCCGCGACGCGGGACTGAGGCGCGTGCGAAATCGGATCGCTCTGTAGCACGCGACGACTCTTAATCAAAGGATTACGTTCTGGTTTGACGATGTAACAGCTCGTGCATTGATCATGCCTAAGACCAACTCGCCAACAAAAAATGGTCATCTAAAATCGTAAGCGTCATTTTATTTAGATTGTGGGCCCTCTCCTCATGAGTCATTAATCATTTATTTTCTCCGTTAGGGTCGAGAAGGGACACGATTTCTTACCGTCCATTATGCAAAAATGGTGCATGTTATAGGTTGCGGTGCATCATTCCTATTTATACGTATATTTTGTGGGTTTTTTATTACTACGAGTACGATATTTGATGGGTAGATAAAAGGTACATCACAAATTTTGCCCTTCTAAAGTAGTGAACATTCGGGGAGAAAGCGTTATATTTCAGCAGCACATTCTGTCGATAGTCGAATTAGCAAATAATTTTTACCCTTAAAGTGGAATTTTTCAATATGTCTAAATCAAAGTAGTGAATCCAGAGTCAAAGTCAATTCTTTATAGTCGACCCAGTTCAAAACATTTCCTAATTTTTCCATCTCTTCACTGCCCAGCTGAGAGGATCTTCACTACCCCAACACCTCCTGAGAGGCCGACCTTGCACTGTCTTGTAGGAGGAAGGAGACGTGTGAGGAACTGAGGATGCCAGTGTC